TGTAGGCTAGGCCAGGCCAGGATAACTACTTATTTTCAGCTGCTGTGTTAAAGACTAACCTTTTTTTTTTTTTTTTGCTGGCACTTTTTTCTTACTCTTTGATTTCTTTCTTTAATTATCTTCTCTACATCCCTGGCAGAGTTTTTTTTTTCTAATTCAAATGCAGGTATCTCAACCTGACCTCAGGAGGGTTGTATGCAGACCCTGTTGGACAGGAAATTGCAAGGCTAGCTTGAAAGGCACCTTCAGGCACTGGGTTCTGCAAGGGGCAAACTCTGTTCTGCTAAACGTTAGCTGTGGAGCTGCCAGCATTACCTAAGCACTTACCTCACCTCTGAAGATTCACTTTTTGAGTAAAGAAATTGGACCAAGTTCCAGGAGCTGCCCTATTTGCATAGGTCACCCAGGACATTTAAATTCCTTATTCCATGGTCTCTACCATGTAAACCGTTAACACTGTGGAACTGAGCGCTGGTATCAGCCACTGTGCGAAGTGTTGCGTGTGCACACTTCATGCTTGCTTTCTTTCAATACATTGTCAAAGAAACATTTTTGCATTGCTACTCCTGCTTGCAAAGAGCCATGCTGAACTTCAATCTTCAATCCATTCCTGCTACCTACCTACAGTGACCTTGGTCACCTCCTGCCATCTGGTTCTCATCTGCTACCAGCTTTATGGGTTTCTTGAGTATCTGGGGTTCTGCCTCTTACTGTGAGCCTTACATTGCTTTAATACCACGTGGTCTGATTGTAGACATACGTAGCGGGAACAGTACCACTATCGGTTGTCCGAAGCTCTCACTTTACTAAGTGCTCAAGGGCTGCTTGCAGGGTGCCTAATAATTTGGCTGATGTCTGCTACCTGGAATCATGTTGACCTCAAAAAGTTTATCCCATCATCAGAATCCTTTTTAGCCCCATCAATTGTGGTTGTAGCAGAGGTCAGATACACGCTCCCATGCCTTCTCTCACAGATTCAGTATGTGATTTACCCATGGCCTTAGAAGCTTGCTAACCATTGTCCACAGTGACTTTGTATGATTCTGAGTCATTCCAGCATCTGAGACTGCTTTCCCCTGAAAAGTCACAATTTACCACTATTACTCCATTGTTGTTCTTATTGATTTGAGTGATCAATATTGATGTGGTGTGCAGCGCTCTGTTGCTTCTGCCAGTGCTGTTTCCAGTTTCAGATCCATTAAAGCATCAATGAGCTCCCAGGACTTTACCCTTGCACCAGTTTCAACTCTTTCTATACAGAGATTGGGAACAACCTGATAAGGCTTATTAGCCTTGTACCAATTTTTGGAGTATTTTGTGCAAGACTGTTCCCACTGTGGCCTAACAAGATACTTACTGTTCTAACAAAAGATGTGCCTGTCTTTAAGGCAGAACAGATAAACGATTAGAAGCCTTTTCTGTTCCCGCTGGTGAGTTCTGTCCTTTTAACCCTTTCAAGCCATGACTTTACTTTGTGAAATCATGGCTAGCTGGTCAAAATCCAAAAAGAGAACTTTCCATTGCTGAGGATAATCTGTAGAATACTAACTGTATGAAGCAAATGGCTGAAGCTTTAAATTTAACCTGCAACAGTCTTCAGAAAGCTTCCTGTCTCATCTTTCACATGGAGCTCCATACACATGTGTAGGGAACTTTGGTTGAAGTGCTTGCTGGAGTATGGAGCCCTTGAGCAGAAAGCACTGATCCATATGGTCTTTGAGGGACAACATCTCTTTGGACTGACTCTTCATCAAAATCTTCAAACAAGCCTTCCTCTGCATGAAGGTGCATCTCCACTTTTCAGAGTGGAGGGATGTTTGTTAACTTTTATAGACATTTGAATAGTATGCATTTCTGATGCTTGGGTGCAGGGGTATCGCAGGGCTATAAACATGTTTTGTTCCCTGGCCCCTCTTTGGTTTCTCACCTTCAACTTTCTTGTATCACAACACAGATTAGAAGATCTCCATTGAGCCCACACAGGTCTTCTGGACCAGAATGTCATCACCCTAGTTCCTTTGGCAGACAATTTTCAAGGATTTTACCCCAACAGGTTCACTGTGTACAAACGCCCAAACAAGCCATCTGTCTCATCTTGGTTCTCAAAACTCTTTAGGTCTGCATTTAAGCACAGAAATTCCACATGGAATCCACCTAATCTGTCATTGCCTTCCTTCACCAGGGAGGCTTCTGTGGACATTAAGGTTGCACACCTGCAATGACATATTTTTTCTATGTTTTGCTGTGTGGCCCTTACACTACTGGTCTGTGACCCTGCACCTCAAGATCCTCCGGGAACTGACTCATCATTTGAAATATCTTGGTCATGTCCTGCACACAGCTCAAACCAAAGTGTTTCTTTAAACAGATTTGAGCTCTTCAGTCCAGGAGCTGCTTGACTCTGCTTTTGCATTAGGGTCTTGGGTTAGATGATAGCCTCCTTTGAGGCAGTTGCATATGTCCAGGTTCACTCTGGACCTCTATATGGTCTGCTGTCAAAGGATAAGTCAAACAGGTTCCTGGACAGACTGATTTGTTTTACACTGAAGACCAGGTTGTGCCTGGCTCAGGAATCAGGGGAGTCTTCCTTTTCATCTTTTTAGATGGGGCCTCAAAATGGATGTCACCCTGTCGGGCTGGGGAGGAGTCCTGAGCACCTTGTTGGTGCAGTGAAGTTGGTCATTAGAGGAGTCTTTTATCTTGATCAGCATCCTGGAGCTTCAGGTAATTTTGCCATGCTAATAGGTCATTCAATACGGATTCAGTCTGTAAACGCCTCAATGGTGGGGCACATAAACCATCATGGAGGAACCAGAAGTCTCCCCATAGTAAGAAGGGTAGATCGGATCCTGTGCTGGGTAGAACTTCACATTCCAGCCTTGTCTAGTGGTGGAAACCAGATGTAGACCTCATGGCCTCCAGTTTCAACAACAAGCAGCAGTTTGTCTCCAGATACAGGGATCCATTAGCAAACGCTCTGGTGGCTCCCTGAGATCAGTACACCCTGATCTATTTTTCTACCCTGAAACTTCTTTTTTGTCTGGTTTTCAGGATTAAGATGGAAGCCATTCTGGTAATCTGACAACATTGAGGAAATGTCACTTTGCTACAATGTAAAGTAGTGAGTGCACGCTTGCTCCCCATTCACACCTGAGACCTTGTAACACTAAGGAGTCACATGACATTGGGGAAGGAAAATGGCTAATTGGGCCTAATTTGGACATTTTCACTTAGGGGTGTACTCATTTTTGTTGCCAGCTGTTTAGACATTAATGGCTGTGTGTTGAGTTATTTTAAGGGGACAGCAAATTTACACTGTTATACAAGCTGTACACTCACTACTTTACATTGTACTAAAGTGTAATTTATTCAGTGCTGTCACATGAAAAGATATAAAAAAATATTTACAAAAAAATGTGAGGAGTGTACTCATTTCTGTGAGATACTGTATATATTCCTCTCTACTTTCACCCACAACATGGTTTTCCTTGTACCCACCACAACTGCAAGCTGTGTGTTTGAACTGGCACCCAAATCCTACAAGGAATCATTTCTGTTTCTGCAAAAGGGTAAGGTGGTGTCCTTTTTTGCCTAAAGTAGTTTCTGCAGGACATTGTTCTGAATTTCCCTCCATTTTCTGGATGTGGTTCAGGCTGTGGAAGTCTGTCTCTTAGCTACTACTTCTTTAAGAAAAATATGATTCCCTATTTGTCATCCCATATGGCCCCCAAAAGGATGGCCAGCTTCTCTCTTGACCATCTCTATGTGGCTCAGCAAGGCCAAGCTTATCGCCTAAAAGATTGGATACCACCCTTGCCGGTCAAGGGACACTGTATTAGATCTGCAAGTGATTCTTGTGCTTTTCAGCATCAAGCATCTGTTTCTCTGATTTGCATAAGTGCCACCCAGTCTTCTGACAACACTTTATTTAAGTTCTACCAGGCGAATGTTTCAGTCTCATCTATGCCAGCTTCAAATGTAAGGTCCTTTAAGCAGGTCTTTGAGCTGCAGATAGTGCCCAGTTTTATTTTGTTATTTTTTGGGCCGGTTAGTATTTGTTTGCTGTGTTGTCCACCCCTCAGTTGGACTGCTGTTGGATATCCTGAAGGTTAAAGACTTCCTGTGTCCCTCAGTAGACAAGAAAATAAGAATATGTATTCTCTGAAAAATCCTTTTCTTGCAATCTATTTGGTGATACAGGTCCCACCCATGTGTTTATTATCATAATTATACTACTTTGGTAAAAAACAGATTTTTTTTGTTTGTCCATGTCCAATATTCTGTAGGCAGCAGTATAACCCAAAGGTTAAATACTTTTAGTGTCTCTCTATGGACTTCAAGAAAATAATTTTATGACAAGTATAAAAATCCTACTGTATCTTAATATTAGCTTCAAGTAAACCCCTGTAGCAGCACTCATACTAAATCAGTACAAGTCAGCACTCTGAGCCAACTGGGGCTCTCTTTTTTGCACAGTGCAGTAAGTCTAACACTGAACACACAAGAAAGAAGAACATATGGATTCTGGTCACTAGTGAATTAATGCAGGTTTCTAGGCCAGGCTCTGTTGCTTATATGCAGTGTAGTCTAGAGAAAGGTCCAGGACCTGGATGTGCTATCTGGTTGGGGTGTGTGTATCATTAGACTGCCTAAACATATTTGCATATCCTTTGACAGATAAAAAATGTTATTATATTATTATTATACAGGATTTATATAGAACAACAGTTTGCTCAGCGCTTTACAATATAAAGGGAGACAATACAGCAATGATATAGTTCCATACAAGAGGGTTCGGAGGCCCCTGCTCCTTGGAGCTTACAATCTAAGAGATTCTCATAAGATAAACATATTCCAACTGTATTTAGCTATTTGCTTGAAGTTCAGCTTTAGGGAAAAATGATCAAATTACTTTGCGCTCCTATGGTATGAGTTACAAAATTACCTGAAAAGATATTTAAACTAAAATATATTTCACTACTAACTATAACAGTACTTACTATAGGTGGTGATGGTAAAATCAAACTCCCTGCTGCCTCCTGATCCAGAATTGTTACTGTTGTAGTTGTGATATCACCAAGAATGGCCTCAACTGGGTCATCTGGACCAAGAACTACTGAAAAGGACTCATGCCATTCCCTGTCCTCATTTGATAGGATCTCAACCTTAAAAAACATGTGGTCAACACCTGCAAATAGTGACAGATAAACCATAAACTGGTTAATTAATACATTTCTGTATTTTATTTCTGACAAATAAATGTGTTTGTGTCTTTTATGAGAAATGTTATGTAATTTAACCTTACCAAATAAAAATATCCATGATGCATTAAGCAAAAATATTACCATGAGATGCTGGAAACAACAGATTACATCAAGTTAATTTGTCCTACTCTATAATGTTACACGTCATAGCTTTTAAAATGAAAGGTTTCCTTTCATTTAACTTTTTATTCAAAATACCCATGCATAGCAGTATAAAAGCACAGATGACTGAAATAAGTTCTAAGAATAAATTCCATAAAGCACGTTTCATTCAAAATATATTGTTTTAAATAGATAAGTAATTAAATTTACACTAGATGGCCATATGTTTTTGGACACCTGGCCTAGATGAGCATGTTGGACATTCCATTTCAAATCCATGGCTACAACAGCCTTCACTCATCTGGGAAGACTTTTCACAGGATTCTGGAGTGTGTCTGTGGAAACCCGTACCTATTTCAGCCAGAGAACATTTTATAGGGACTGACCCTGATGTACAGAGCTCCTGAGTTGAGGGGATGGACTCTGATGTATAAGGGAGCTCCTGAGCTGAAGGGGAGAACTGTGATATACAAGGGACTTCTAATGTAAAGTGGAGAACTCTGAAGTATAGGGGGGCTCCTGATGTGAAGGGAAGAACTCTGATATATTGTAGGCTTCTGGTGTGATGGGAAGAACTCTGATATACAGTAGGCTTCTCATGTGAAGGGGAGAACTCTGAAGTATAGACGGGCTCCTGATATGTGGTGGAGGACTCAGTTGTATAGGGGGGCTTTTTATGCTAAGGGGAGGGTTATTATGTTTTGGGTCCTGATGTGAAGGGGGGAAATCTGATCTATCGGTGGGCTCATGGTGTGAAGGGGAGGACTCTGATGTTTAGGGAAGCTCTTGATGTGAAGGAGAAGACTCTGATGTATAGGAGAGCTCCTGAGGTGAAGGGGGTACTCTGATGTATAAGAGGCTCCTGTTGTGAATATATCCTATAGGTAGGTTCTTGATGTGAAGGACACTGATATATAGGGGAGCTTTTGAAGTGAAGTTGAGGACTCTGATGTATAGGGGAGCTCCTGAAGTGAAGGGGAAGACTCTAATGTATAGGGGGCTCCTTATCTGAAGTGGAGAACTCGGATTTATATATAGGAGAGCTCCTGAGTTGAAGGGGAGGACTCTTAAATATAGGGGGCTCCTAATGTAAAGGGGAGGACTCTGAAGAATAGGGGAATTCCTGATGTCAGGTGAAGAACTCTAATGTATAAGAAATGGTCTTGATGCAAATGAGAAGGCTATGATGTTTTGGGGAAATCCTGAGGTGAAGGAGATAACTCTGATGTATAGATTAGCCCCTGGTGTGAAGGGATGATTTAGATGTATAGGAGGGCTTTTGATGTGAAGGGAAGGACTTTGATGTATAGAGGAGCTCCTGAGGTGAAGGGGGACCTCTGATGAATAGGGAGCATCTGATGTGAAGGGGAGGACTCTGATGTAAAGGGGGCTTCTGTTGTAATGTGGATGAATCTGCTGTATAGGCGGTTCACAATGTGAAAATTAGAACGCTGATGTATAGGTTGGCTCTTGATGCAAAGGGGATTGAAATGGGAGATCCTGATATCAAGAGAAGAACTCTGATTATGGGGAGGCTCAGGATGTGAAGGGGAGGATTCTGATGTATTGGGGTGTTTTTGATGTGAAGGGGATAACTGATGTATAGGGGCTCCTCCTGATGTGAAGGGGAGAAGCCTGATGAATATATATATATATATATATTCAGTGGGGCAAAAAAGTATTTAGTCAGCCACCAATTGTGCAAGTTCTCCCACTTAAAAAGATGAGAGAGGCCTGTAATTGGCATCATAGATAGACCTCAACTATGAGAGACAAAATGAGAAACAAAATCCAGACAATCACATTGGCTGATTTGGAAAGAATTTATTTGCAAATTATGGTGGAAAATAAGTATTTGGTCACCTACAAACAAGCAAGATTTCTGGCTCTCACAGACCTGTACCTTCTTCTTTAAGAGGCTCCTCTGTCCTGCACTCATTACCTGTATCAATGGCACCTGTTTGAACTTGTTATCAGTATAAAAGACACCTGTCCACAACCTCAAACAGTCACACTCTAAACTCCACTATGGTGAAGACCAAATAGCTGTCGAAGGACACCAGAACCAAAATTGTAGACCTGCACCAGGCTGGGAAGACTGAATCTGCAATAGGTAAGCAGCTTGGTGTGAACAAATCAACTGTGGGAGCAATAATTAGAAAATGGAAGACATACAAGATCACTGATAATCTCCCTCGATCTGGGGCTCCACGCAAGATCTCACCCCGTGGGGTCAAAATGATCACAAGAACGGTGAGCAAAAATCCCAGGACCACACGGGGGGACCTAGTGAATGACCTGCAGAGAGCTGGGACCAGGCTACCATCAGTAACACACTACGCCGCCAGGGACTCAGATCCTGCACTGCCAGACGTGTCCCCCTGCTTAAGCCAGTACATGTCCGGGCCCATCTGAAGTTTGCTAGAGAGCATTTGGATTATCCAGAAGAGGATTGGGAGAATGTCATATGGTCAGATGAAACCAAAATAGAAGTGTTTGGTAGAAACACAACTCGTCATGTTTGGAGGAGAGAGAATGCTGAGTTGCATCCAAAGAACACCATATCTACTGTGAAGCATGGGGGTGGCAACATCATGCTTTGGGGCTGTTTCTCCACAAAGGGACCAGGATGACTGATCCATGTACAGGACAGAATGAATGGGGCCACGTATCGTGAGATTTTGAGTGCAAACCTCCTTCCATCAGCAAGGGCATTGAAGATGAAACGTGGCTGGGTCTTCCAACATGACAATGATCCCAAACATACCGCCCGGGCAACGAAGGAGTGGCTTCGTAAGAAGCATTTCAAGGTCCTGGAGTGGCCTAGCCAGTCTCCAGATCTCAACCCCTTAGAAAACCTTTGGAGGGAGTTGAAAGTCTGTGTTGCCCAGCGACAGCCCCAAAACATCACTGCTCTAGAGGAGATCTGCATGGAGGAATGGGCCAACATACCAGCAACAGTGTGTGCCAACCTTGTGAAGACTTACAGGAAACGTTTGACCTCTGTCATTGCCAACAAAGGATATATAACAAAGTATTGAGATGAACTTTTGATATTGACCAAATACTTATTTTCCACCATAATTTGCAAATAAATTCTTTCCAAATCAGCCAATGTGATTGTCTGGATTTTTTTTCTCATTTTGTCTCTCATAGTTGAGGTCTACCTATGATGCCAATTACAGGCCTCTCTCATCTTTTTAAGTTGGAGAACTTGCACAATTGGTGGCTGACTAAATACTTTTTTGCCCCACTGTATATATAGTGCATTTTCATGTTATTGACCAAAATGATAGCCAAGGACTCCTTACTATGTTAATTCATGCACAAGGTAAATAATTACCTTACCTTTGTGATGTTGGGCTAACCTGTTTTTAGATAAATATGTGGAGAGTCAGGGGGAGTTTCAGAGCAGATTATTTGTAAATCTACCAGCATTGTAAAATGAAAGTTTATCTGATTAGATTTGTAAAGGTCTTAAATATTCATGAGTCTCTTGCTTATGAGAAATAGCCTTTTTAACCACCCTTTTTTGCCCTCCTGAGGATTTACCCCCCCTTCCTGACCAGGCCATTTTTTGCGTAACGGCGCTGCATTACCTTAACTGACTATTGCACGGTCATGCAACGCTGCACCCAAATGAAATTTACCTCCTTTTTTTCCACGAACTGAGCTTTCTTTCGGTAGTATTTGATCGCCTGTGCGGTTTTTAATCTTTTGTGATATAAAAAAAAAAGGCCGACAATTTTGATACTTTTTGCTATTAAACATGCCCAGCAAAAATATGTTCAAAATCTAAGTTCGTCATAAATTTAGGCCAAAATGTATTCTGCTACAGGTCTTTGCTAAAAAAAAATCCAAATACGTGTAAGTTAATTGGTTTACATGAAAGTTATAGTGTTTACAAATGGCGGTATAGGTACTGGAATTTTTTTTTTTTAAACTAATAATGGCGGCGATCAGTGACTTATAGCGGGACTGCGGCGGACATTCTGGTACTGGGGGGGAACTAACTTGGTGTCACTGATCTCCCCAGTGACACCAAAAAAAAAGCACTGACACTGTAGTAATGGCACTGGGCAGGAAGGGGTTAACATGAGGGGTGATCAAAGGGTTAACTGTGTACAGGGAGTGTTTTACTAGGGGGCCATGTCAGTGTGCTTCACTGTAAGCACACTGCTTTGGATGGCTGTGTTGTGCACAGCCATCCACAGCAGTGTGCCCGAGCTGCCAGGGAGGAGAACTGTTAGTAAACAAAACAGTCCTCCTCACCATCAGAGATCCTCGGTAATCACCGGGCGCCGGCGAGTAATCACCATTGACAGCCGTGGCTGTGAATAGCGGCATGCAGCTGCACACGCCCCCAACCCGGAGATGCAAAATCATATATACAGTGAGGAACAGAAGTATTTGAACACCCTGCGAATTTTGCAAGTTCTCCCACTTAGAAATCATGGAGGGGTCTAAAATTCACATTGTATGTGCATTCCCACTCTGAGAGACAGAATTTAAAAAAAAAATTCAGGAAATCAAATTGTATGTTTTGTAAAGAATTTTTTTTGTCTTGCACTGCTGAACATAAGTATTTGAACACCTAAGAAACAGCAAGAATTCTGGCTCTCAGAGACCTGTTACTGTGCCTTTAAAAAGTCCACCTCTACTCCACTCATTATTCTAACTTAGTAGCACCTGTCTGAGCTCTTTAAAGACACCTGTCCACTCCACAGTCAGTCAGACGCCAACTACTACCATGGGCAAGACCAAAGAGCTGTCAAAAGACACCACAAAATTGTGGACCTCCACAAGGCTGGAAAGGGCTACGGGGCAATTGCCAAGCAGTTTGGTGAAAATAGATCAACTGTTGGAGCAATTGTTAGAAAATGGAAGAGGCTAAAGACGACTGTCAGTCTCTCTCGGACTGGGGCTCCATGCAAGATCTCACCTCGTGGAGTATCACTGATGATAAGAAAGGTGAGGAATCAGCCCAGAACTACAAGGGAGGAGCTGGTCAATGACATGAAGAGAACTGGGACCACAGTTTCAAAGGTCACTGTCGGTAGAACACTATGCCGTCATGGTTTCAAATTATGCATTGCACAGAAGGTTCCCCTGCTCAAGTCATCACATGTCCAGGCCCATCTGAAGTTTGCCAATGACCATCTGGATGATCCAGAGGAGGCATGGGAGAAAGTCATGTGGTCAGATGAGACCAAAGTAGAACTTTTTGGTCTAAACTTCACTCGTCGTGTTTGGAGGAAAAAGAAGGATGAGTTGCATCCCAAGAACACCATCCCTGCTGTGAAGCATGGGGGTGGTAACATCATGCTTTGGGGTTGCTTTTCTGCAAAGGGACAGGATGACTGCACTGTATTAAGGAGAGGATAAATGGGGCCATGTATTGTAAGATTTTGAGCAACAACCTCCTTCTCTCAGTCAGAGCATTGAAGATGGGTCGTTGCTGGGTCTTCCAACATGACAACGACCCGAAGCACACAGCCAGGATAACCAAGGAGTGGCTCCGTGAGAAGCATATCAAGGTTCTGGAGTGGCCTAGCCAGTCTGCAGACCTAAATCCAATAGAACATCTTTGGAGGGAGCTGAAACTCCGTGTTGCTCAGCGACAGCCCCTAAACCTGACAGATCTAGAGGAGATCTGTGTGGAGGAATGGGCCAAAATCCCTGTTGCAGTGTGTACAACCCTGGTCAAGAAACGTTTGACCTCTGTAATTGCAAACAAAGGCTTCTGTACCAAATATTAACACTGATTTTCTCAGGTGTTCAAATACTTATGTTCAGCAGTGCAAGACAAATAAATTCTTTAAAAATCATACAATGTGATTTCCTGATTTTTTTTTTTTAATTCTGTCTCTCAGAGTGGGAATGCACATGCAATGTCAATTTCAGACCCCTCCATGATTTCTAAGTGGGAGAACATGCAAAATCGCAGGGTGTTCAAATACTTATGTTCCTCACTGTATACTTCTGATTAAACACATCTCTCTGGAAAAGAACTGTTGGACTTGTTGCTGCAGGAAAATACATTTATAAATGCACTCGTCATCATCCGTGTGTGATATATGACAACATATCTGTCTTATGGACTATTTCTGTGTGGACCTCCACATGATATAAGACAACAAGGTCCTGAAGTGAAAGGGAGGAATCTGTTGTCAAGTGGGGTTACTGATGTGAAAAGGAGGACTCTGATGTATGTGGGGCTTAAAGGTACTGTATAGGGGATTCTGATGTTAAGGGGGAACTCCAATGTATTGGGGAAACTCCAATGTATAGGGGAAACTCTTATATGAATGGTGCTTTGATGTGAAAGGTGGGCTCTGCCTATCTTACTTTCTCTCTCCCTCCCTGCTATGCTCTCTTTCCCTTCCTCTCTCTCACTCCCCTCCTCCCTCAATCCATTTCACTTTCTCTTGCTCCCACTTTCACTTTCCTCTCTTAATCTTGACTGTTGCTGTACATATTCCCTATTGTATGTGACCAACTCCTGCTGACAACTGCACTATGTATGCTATATTGAACGTTACACAATTCTGACTATAGTGTTAATTGTCCCATCAGCTGCTGGATTTCATTAAATTATTCTTTAAGACAGGCTTCGACAAAGTTATTGATTTTTTTTGTGCAGAAGAGCATATGTAGTGAAAGCATTAAAAATTATCCTTTGTCCTGAGATTTATATACGTCCTTGACAGTCACTTCTGGCACAGTAATTTTGTGGTTCACATGCAGTGTACATGTTTTGTTTAATCATCCTGATTTAAGGCACTCCCACTTTTAGGTGAAATTAGACCATGCCCGCCATTTGCAGCAGCTTCCTATGAGTTTCACTGAGTGAAAATGAAATAAAATACCAAATTTTGGGTTGTCACCACAACAGGGATAGAGGGGGAATCGTCCAATAGCAACACTAGTCCTGATTACTCTGGTGACATCCAGGGGTTTCCTCACTTTGGAGAGATTTACTCTCCTTTTACTGTTTTGGCTGAGAGAGAAAGTGAAAGGAAATCTCCCCCAATCAAAATCGATAGCGGTAAATCCCTCTCTTACTCTATCCAAAAATGATAAAAACAAGTTTTGCTGTCTTTTGGTTCTACTTTAAGTTGGGCATACACTGATTGACATTTGGCTGGTCCATCAGCGACGAAACATATTTTGATCAATGTGTGATCACCCCTGCTCGATAGAAATTGATTATTAGAAGATATTAGAATATTTTCGGACAATCAGCCATTTAAGTGCGGGGGGAATCCCCCATCCACCTTGTTTGTGTGGATTGAAGAATCTGTTCCTTGGCTAAAAAGAATAAAAAATAACCTTGTATGGCCAGCCTTAGTCATGCTTACATTTTGTCATACTAATTTGACTGTTTATTTGTAAAGCTAGGTAGATTACTTGTTAAGGGTATCTGTTACAATGTTGCAAAGTTTATACTGTTTAAACATTAAAGGTTGTTTACACCAGTGCAACTTGTTATTTGATTTGACAGTTTCAAATCGAATGACAAGTTGAACCCTATTGTGAGCTATGGAATCATTCAAATGGGTGGGACTCTGACTTTGTGGTGCTGCACCAATTTGAAAAAAAGGTCCTGCACTATTTTTTGCGATTTCAGGTGCGACTTGCACAGACATTTGTGCATGAGGTCGCACAGATGTCTGCCAAGTCTCACTGACATGCGGTTTTGAAATCGTGCAACTTCCAACTGTAGCTGCATACAGATAGCTGTATGCAGCTGGTCCTTTTTCCAGGAATCCGGCGGCCACAGCTACTTGGCCACATAAAAGAGGCCTAATCTGCTTAGTGTCTGATAAAATGTGTCATATTTCAGGTTGTCAGTGCTCTGTCAGTAAATTTTTTGAAGAACAAAAGTTTTGCATGGTTGGCAACTCTGCTGTAGTGCAGCATCATTCCAGCAGCGCAGCATCTTTCCAGCAAAGTGCAAAGGAACTGTACAGCCCAATGACATCTAAGGGAAACCCTGTGCATAATTAGTGGCTGAAGATTTCCACAGTTCCGAAAGGAGTGCTGGGCTTATTGCTGGCCACATTAACTTTTCTGGACACATTTAAATTTGTCCATTACTTCCAACTTTTTTTTCTGACCCTGGATCCCCCCTGCATTCCTGCAGCTGTCTACTTCATCTGAACACAGATCTATAGAATTATGTAAACTTTATTTAATTTACAAGTTTACTGCCACCTGTTGCCATAATTTCTTGGCAAAAAACTCACCGGGACTGAATTTAAGAACTCGGCTTTTTGGATAGTAATCGACGCCAGACTGAGCAGATCCATCTCGTGTGCTGCAGCGGACTTTGGATGTTCTATTTTGGTCTCCCTTTCTGATTACTTTGATGTTCAAAGTAGCCACTCCATCTGGCTCTTGAGGCTCACGAATCTGATAAGTAGACTCTTCAAATTCAATAGTTGGTGCTACGAATATTAAAGTTTAAATCATATTGAGATTCATTATTATTAATTTATAAGCAGATTTAGTGATCATTTACTACACATTTAACACATCTACAGAAACTTTGGCAAAAATCTAACCTACATTTTGTTTAACAGTTTAGTACTTTCATAATATAACTATAGCACATTCTGGCAAAGCCCATTGTGTGGTACATATATGAAAAACAATGAGGGTAGCCTTGCTATACCACAATGTTTTGATTTGTGTTATTTGAATAGGGCTTGTGGCTATGGGGGGGGGGGGGGGTTACTAAAACTGGTGCACTCAGAATATGGTGCAGCAGTGTTTTGTAGCCAATCAGCTTCTAACTTCAGCTTGTTCAAATAAGCTTTGATAAAAAATCATGGACGCTGATTGGCTTCTATGCAGAGCTGCATCACAATTTGCACTGTCCAGTTTTAGTAAATCAACCCCAATGTCTTCTGTGTGTCTACTATAACAGATTAATGATAAGCTAAGCAGTATCTAACTAGGAATATATAAATATAACAACAATACAGTGGTCACAAAACAAGTAATGAATAAAGAATCTATAAACTCTTAAGTGATGCACTTTCGGTAAGTGTGTTTCCAGAGTGCGGTGGAGGGCACTTGGTGTTGAATATTATTTTCCTGCATTATCACGTGATGGAAGAAATTTAAAGACTATACAACATTTAATGTTTTTTATCGATGCACATACAGTATTAATTTATTTAATTTGTTTAGTGGAGGAAATTTAAGGACTGTACACCATTAGACGTTTGTTGCACATACATATATTTTTTTCTGTGCATGTTGCATTCACATTTAAACGCATCACTTAAGGAGTTTATAGATTCTTTATTCATTATTTGTTTTTATTAGTGCTGTATTGTTTTTTTATTTATATCTTTTAGGTTTGATTTATACATATATATATATAGCTGCTGATTAGTTATGTGTCTCACACTTTCATTTTGGGGTATTTATTTTTACTTGGCACAGAAGGGTTATGTTTATTTTAACTAGGAATACAGTTATTTACTGCATATAACTTAAACACCTGTATTAGTAATGGATTCCATTTATATTCAGCACTTACCGTCCTCATCATTAGAGATAGTAATGGTGGCCATATCAATCTTCCCGATCCTGGCTCCACTCCAATGACTGCCAAGTGGATTGCCAAGATAAATCTTAAACTGTTCCTCTGGTTCAAATACTGAGTCATCATTGATGACAACTGTGCAGTTTTTCACCTATTCACAAAAATACGTAACTATGTTAGTTATTATATGTGTGCAAAAGCAAGGGGCCCATGAAACCAAGGGGTACATATTTGACTACAACACGACATTATGGGGTGTGGATTAAGCCTATGCATAAAATACTATTTATTTTTTCATTTATTATTTTACTGCTATTAAAAACTGTAAGATATTATATATACTTTTTTGCAGCATGTCAACAGATGTTTCTGCATGCATGTCAAAAATACAAGAAACTCTTCTGCACTCAAGCGTGATGTGTGTGTGGTAGATGAATGACAATCAATGTTCACCACTACTGCTCTTATTGACTTAGACGTTCTGTAGGTTACCAGGTACCCACTACACCTTGCAGCCCTCATCAGACAGGGTCAATCCAAAACACTGCATGACTCTAAACAAGAAGGGTGAACCAGCCTAGTGCACCACCAAAGGCACTATTTAATAAAAATGAATAGATAAAATATGAACACAAGCATAAATGAGTTTTATGCTTTTAATATTAAGCAGAAGAAGCTTCAACTAAAGCCACTGCTTATGGCCCCAGATTGGCACAAATGGCATCGCACATAAATGTGTAGCAGACGCTGATGTGTTTTGATGGTAACCCCTCTTCAGATCTGAATGTCTGCTTACCCATTGCTGATTTATATATTATGTAGGTAGTTAAAACTGACAAGTAGGCTACACCCCATACCAGTGTGTTATGTGTTATACAGTTGCAAGAAAAAGTATGTGAACCCCTTGGGATTACGTGGAGTTTTGCATGAATTGGGCATAAAATGTGCTCTGAACATCATCTCAGTCAAGTCACAACAATAGAAGAACACAGTCTGCTGAACATAATACTACACAAACATTAGATGTTGCCATGGTTTAATTGGACATAACATGTAAACATTCACAGTGCAGGGAGGAAAAAGTATGTGAGGCCCTAGCTTAATGACTTCTCGCAGAGCTAACTGGAGCCAGGAGTGAGCCAACCTTGACTCCAATCAGTGTGATGATATCGGATGTGTTGCTGACAGCTGTCCTGCCCTTAAAAAACACACACCTGTTTTGGGTTTACTGGTTTCAAGAAGCACTGTCTGATGTAAACCATGCCTCACAGAAAAGAGCTCTCAGAAACCTACGATCAAGAATTGTTGACTTGCATGAAGCTGGAAACGGTTACAAAAGTATCTCCAAAAGCCTTGATGTTCATGTGTCCATGGTAAGACAGACTGTCTACAAATGGAGAAAGTTTAGCACTGTTGCTACTCTCCCTAGGCGTGGTCGTCCTGTAAAAATGACTGCAAGAGCACAGCGCAGAATGCTGCATGAGGTAAAGAAGAATCCCAGAGTGTCAGCTAAAGACCTACAGAAATCTCTGGCACATGCTAACATTTTTGTTGACACATCTACAATAAGGAAAACATTAAACAAGAATGGAGTACATGGGAGGACACGACGGAGGAAGCCATTGCTGTCCAAAAAGAATATTGCAGCACGTTTGAAGTTTCCAAAAGAGCACCTGGATGTTCCACAGCACTACTGGCAAAATATACTGTGGACAGATGAAACCAAGATTGAGTTGTTTGGGAAGAACACACAACACTATGTGTGGAGAAAAAAAAAGCACAGCACACCAACATCAAAACCTCATCCCCACTGTAAAAACATGGCGGAGGAAGCATCATGGTTTGGGGCTGCTTTGCTGCCTCAGAGCCTGGATGGATTGTTGTCATTTATGGGAAAATGAATTCCAGAGTTTATCAAGACATTTTGCAGGAAAACGTACGACCATCTGTCTGCCAACTGAAGCTCCGCAGAGGATGGGTGATGCAACAGGACAATGACCCAAAGCATACAAGTAATTCAACAAAATAATGGCTGCAACAGCACAGAATACGCCTTCTGGAGTGGCCCAGTCAGAGTCCTGACCTCAACCCGATTGAAATGCTGTGGCATGACCTTAAGAGAGCCATTCACAACAGACATCCCAAGAATATTGCTACACTGAAACAGTTTTGTGAAGAGGAGCGGTCCAAAATTACTCCAGATCGTTGTGCAGGTCTGATCTGCAACTACAGGAAACGTTTGGTTGAGGTTATTGCTGCCAAAGGAGGGTCAACTAGTTATTAAGTCCAAAGGTTCACATACTTCTTCCTCCCTGCACTGTGAATGTTTACATGTTATGTGCAATGAAACCATGGCAACGTCTAATGTTTGTGTAGTATTATGTTCAGCAGACTGTGTTCTTCTATTGTTGTGACTTAGATGACGTTCAGAGCACATTTTATGCCCAATTCATGCAAAACTCCACGTAATCCCAAGGGGTTCAGATGCGTTCAGCAGCACATTTTTTGTTCTTTTTTTTTTTTTATTTCATTTTTTTTTTTTTATTTTTTTTTTTCATATTTTTCTTGCAACTGTAAATCACATACAGAAAGGTCCATAAATATTGGGACATCGACACACAATTCTAACATTTTTGGCTCTATACACCACCACAATGGATTTGAAATGAAACAAACAAGATGTGCTTTAACTACAGACTGTCAGCTTTAATTTGAGGGTATTTACATCCAAATCAGGTGAACGTTGTAGGAATTACAACAGTTTGCATATGTGCCTCCCACTTGTTAACGGACCAAAAGTAATGGGACAGAATAATAATCATAAATCAAACTTTCACTTTTTAATACTTGGTTGCAAGTCCTTTGCAGTCAATTACAGCCTGAAGTCTGGAACGCATAGACATCACCAGACGCTGGGTTTCATCCCTGGTGATGCCTCCCACTTGTTAAGGGACCAAAAGTAATGGGACAATTGGCTTCTCAGCTGTTCCATGGCCAGGTGTGTGTTATTCCCTCATTATCCCAATTACAATGAGCAGATAAAAGGTCCAGAGTTCATTTCAAATGTGCTATTTGCATTTGGAATCTGTTGCTGTCAACTCTCAAGATGAGATCCAAAGAGCTGTCACTATCAGTGAAGCAAGCCATCATTAGGCTGAAAAAACAAAACAAACCCATCAGAGAGATAGCAAAAACATTACGCGTGGCCAAAACAACTGTTTGGAACATTCTTAAAAAGAAGGAACGCACCGGTGAGCTCAGCAACACCAAAAGACCCGGAAGACCACGGAAAACAACTGTGGTGGATGACTGAAGAATTCTTTCCCTGGTGAAGAAAACACCCTTCACACCAGTTGGCCAGATCAAGAACACTCTCCAGGAGGTAGGTGTGTGTGTGTGTCAAAGTCAACAATCAAGAGAAGACTTCACCAGAGTGAATACAGAGGGTTCACCACAAGATGTAAACCATTCGTGAGCCTCAAAAACAGGAAGGCCAGATTAGAATTTGCCAAGCGACATCTAAAAAGCCTTCACAGTTCTGGAACAACATCCTATGGACAGATGAGACCAAGATCAACTTGTACCAGAGTGATGGGAAGAGAAGAGTATGGAGAAGGAAAGGAACTGCTCATGATCCTAAGCATACCACCTCATCAGTGAAGCATGGTGGTGGTAGTGTCATGGCGTGGGCAGTATGGCTGCCAATGGAACTGGTTCTCTTGTATTTATTGATAATGTGACTGCTGACAAAAGCAGCAGGATGAATTCTGAAGTGTTTCGGGCAATATTATCTGCTCATATTCAGCCAAATGCTTCAGAACTCATTGGACGCCGCTTTACAGTGCAGATGGACAACGACCCAAAGCATACTGCAAAAGCAACCAAAGAGTTTTTTAAGGGAAAGAAGTAGAATGGTATGCAATGGCCAAGTCAATCACCTGACCTGAATCCGATTGAGCATGCATTTCACTTGCTGAAGACAAAACTGAAGGGAAAATGCCCCAAGAACAAGCAGGAACTGAAGACAGTTGCAGTAGAGGCCTGGCAGAGCATCACCAGGGATGAAACCCAGCGTCTGGTGATGTCTATGCGTTCCAGACTTCAGGCTGTAATTGACTGCAAAGGATTTGCAACCAAGTATTAAAAAGTGAAAGTTTGATTTATGATTATTATTCTGTCCCATTACTTTTGGTCTGCTAACAAGTGGGAGGCACATATGCAAACTGTTGTAATTCCTACACCGTTCACCTGATTTGGATGTAAATACCAAATTAAAGCTGACAGTCTGCAGTTAAAGCACATCTTGTTCGTTTCATTTCAAATCCATTGTGGTGGTGTATAGAGCCAAAAATGTTAGAATTGTGTCGATGTCCCAATATTTATGGACCTGACTGTATATACGGTATATTGATTCTAACCCTTTGAATAACTAGATCAAGAAAAATATATATGTCTGTGCCACAGGTTGTATAAAGTTTTAAAGGTGCAACTGCTGCTTTAAAAAGTATTCTTTTAATAAATGGTGCCTTTGGTAAACTACTAGACTAGTGTACCCTTGCTGCTTTGTCTCATGTAAAAGAATGCACGTAACCATAGACTGTGACAAGCATTATGGTCATTCCATCTGCTTATAAAGGACAGTTGCTATGACTAAGGAACAATGGAGTTGTTAACCTCAACAAAAGCACACTTAATACTTGAATGCAAAGAACAATTCAGTTTTCTTTAGTCAGAACAATAACAGATGAATTCTGATTGGATGCTATGGGTTACTCTACTTTTCACAATGCTCTTTGCCTTAATAAATAATCTCAAAACAGTTACATGAATAGGGCTATGGTATGGTGTGGCATACAAACAAGGATGGCTTGATTACCCAGCAGTCATTTATATGCTTACTTTTTCTCCTTTAAGAAATGTAATGCGGGAATCATCAGAATTTCTTCTCTCTTCAAAGTCATCCATCACTTGTGCAGACTGAGACTGCGTGTAACAACGCACCGAGGATTCATAACTCAGATCCCCAGTACGTATAATAGGAACATGAAGCAATCCATCCTTTTCCTTCACTGTCAATACATCCTTACTGAACTGCATACTGGGGACTATAAGGAAACCAAAAATTAGATAAAAATGTGTTCATAACAACCAAACAAATAACATAAAATTTCTTAAAAAGTGAGGATAAAAGCGGTTCAAGTGCAAAAGATAACATAGAAGTTAAAATGGAACACTATCTACAGCCTAACATGGGTAAAGGGTTTTATTCTAACTATGTGTTCTAACTTGAGTCTAAAAGATACCAAGCAGTTGTGTGTGGATTGCATCCATATAAAAAAAAAAAACACCATTTCTTTATAAATGTAGTAAATGTCCTATTTGGCATGCCTAAACTTTGCATGCCTACGTATATTAAATTATCATTTGTCATTATGAAATGAATTAAAATGATAATAAATACTAAAAGTATCAATACAATACATGTAAACTGTAGCTAAATAATAATTTTTTAATAATTTAAAGAAGTATGGCCAAAGTTTTTTTGGCCCCACTTCTCCTATGGATCACAGGAGTGCACTTATGTCACTCAGCATGCTACGGATAGCCTGAGCCAGCTGTTCCCGTCCCCTCCTTGGTCTGGCACTCCAGTGAGCACTGAAGGGACAGAGCAGAGAGCCAGTGTCTGACAGTTACCGACTGTCTGCTCAGTGAAGACTGAGAACCGAGAGATCAGCGGTCTTGGGGGGGGGGGGGGGGTTCAGATGCAACATTGGATTGATTGACTTAGGTGAGAGTGTGTATATATATACATATATATAAAATTAATTTTTTTTACAGAATCCAATACTTCTCTTTTAAAGTGTCATCTTGCAAGATTTTAGATACTCAGCATTGAAATTACATAACATAAAGCCTTTATGGACCTTAATGATTAAGCCTACATCTACTTTAACAGTATGGACAATCATTTGGTACATCATTTTATTCTTTTGAGTAGGATATAAAGACAACAAAATACCACGTTTTCACTGGTGGCAGAGCTAACTAGGATTGTCATGATAGGAGAGAGGCAGGGGAGAGAACCAAAAGATGTAATTCAACTAACTGTAAAGCTAGCTAGCATTTGGTTTAATACTCCTCTTGTTTAATAATTCTCTTGTCCACTGTAGAAATGCTGTCCCAGATAACATTCTTTGTTTTTTACATGTTCCCACTAGGGGTGGACTGACCATTCTGGCATTCGGGCACTGCCCGAGGGCTCGGGGTCAGTAGGGGACCCCATGAGATGCCCCTGGTACCTTTCATAGACTTTTTTGGGGGTGGTTTGAGCGTGGGCAAGGACACAGGGGCCCCATGATCCCCTATTGCCCGGGGGCGCCATGAGTTGTCAGTCCACCTCTGCTTCTCACACAATCTCAGGGACATTCTTTTGATATGGGTAGTGTAGTGATTGTATGGCTAAAACTGTGGGCTTGCAGTTTCTACCAGTGGTACGATATGCATGGAGTTTGTTCTAGCCACGTCGCCTCCCTCAGTTCAAAGAATTACTCATATGATGATTTGTTTCTATTCAAAACTGCCCTCTGTTTGTGATAGGTGCATATATTGTAATCAGCCTCCAGGGTGAGGAGTGATCTAAGTGGTTCTATGTGCTCTGTGAACAGCAACAGAATATCCAGTGAGATAAAAATAATTAATTTAAACAACAAAACAAAGTATAATACCATCCTGAAAGGTATCGTTAATGGTAATGGTGGCTTCAAATGGTTTGATCAGTTCAGCCCCTTGTGCAGAGCTTAAAAATACAATAAAGGTTTCCAGTCCTTCAATAACTGGGTGCTGCGTGTCATCAAGGATTGTTAGAGTGCAGTGCTGTAACACAGAAATAAGTAAAAGTCACATATATTCTATTCATTACATTATTACCAGTACTCACCTACTGTGAACAGGTTTAAAACCTAACAACTGTATTTGATTGTACACATAACAATTCAAAATAACTTTACCAGATGAAATAACTTTAAAATAAAAATGTTAATGCTATACAAAAAGTGCAGTGCTTTCCTAACCACCTCCACAGCATTTTAATGTGGACACTTTAATTAAAGCTGTCATAGAGTAAAGCTAGGCATGTCTCTACTGTATTCTTTAAATGTTCTAAACAAATTAGAGGTTTACAAGAACACACTCATAGTGTAATGGATTTTTTCTTTAAAGAGACCTTATTCCTTAAAAGTAGGGAAGCTTATAATCCATTACAAAAATTAGACTAACCAGAAAATAACCTAAAGGACCATTAAACTTAAAGGGGTATTGAACTCCAAACCAAAATTTTATATATTGTAGCTTGCCAATCCTTAAATGTTGGTGTCTGATTTAGTTTTATTTTTTAGGCTTTTTCCCTCTGTTTTCAACTGTTTTCAACTAATGATGTAGCCAGTAACACAGCTCCTGTATTAGAGTGCCCCCATTCTAGATGAAGGAGCACAGGGGCACATTTGGACAGCAGTCTTTTGAACTAACAAATTGAAGCCACACTCCAGCCAATACTTTATAAGCAGTTACACCAGCTAAAAGCTGATCATTGTAAGCACCCCTCTCACTAGTAAATGGTTTGTCTCAACACTAAACTGATACATCTGGGGACAGCCTGTTCTGTAGAGAAATAACAGATTTACTAGCTGGACTGCCAAATAAAAATAAAGGACAGAAAGCCTAAAAAGAAAGCTAATGCAGCCACCAAACCTAAGAATTGTTAAGCTGCAATATAATGAATGTTTGGAACACACTCTATGTCCTTCCCCAGGGATCTTCCTCCCACACCTGCTGTCAATTTTCAAAATCAGCGCAGCTGTGCGGGTCTCCACTTACACAGCTGCGTTATTCCTTCCAGCAACTGTGGCAGACAACTTGTAGTTCTCAATGAACTGAGAGGGCTCTCATAGTTCATTCACACTTCCTCCAGCTTTGTAACTGCCTGTATGGAGGTATGGGCAGGCAAGTTGCAGGCGGAGTCTGTAGGGGCCTGAGATTGCATTTTTCTTAAAGGTGAAATTATCTTTTAATGTGAATTATCAAGGTTACAATAATATTAATAGGTATGCATGTAAAATTACTCCCACCCCAAGAAAAAAAAGAAAAATTTAACTTTTCTATAACTCTAGTGGAACCATCTTATCTAATTTATGGTAGCCAAAAGCAACAGTTGGTAGCTTCCTTAAAATGGAATTCCAGTCAAAACTTCACTTAATGCTAAACCTACTCCCACCCTCATTCTAAGATTATTCTATCTAAGCTTGTAAAAAAAAAAAAAGATTGCAATACTTACCTATTCTGAAGCTGCTCCAGTCCTGTCTTCATTGGTGGCTTCTGTGTACAGGAGAAAGCCGACATCAGCTGGGAAATGCCTAGGATATGACATCACCCATAGACATACTATGGGGCATCCTTTGTTGACTGCCTCTCCTCTACACAGCAGCCACTGCTGACAGCTTAGCCTGGGACTGGACACAAGTGGCATCAGAAGAGGTAAGTATAGGGATCTTTTCATAACAGGGTTAGATAGAATAGGCTTAGAATGGAGATGGGAGTAGGTTTAGCGTTAGTGAGGTTTTGACTGGCATTCCACTTTAAGCTATGCTCTCTACTAAACTAAATTCATGTAAATTGTATCTCTATGTTCATTTTTTGTTTTTTAGCTTTGGATAATAAAACCTCCTTCAGGTTTTTACTACTGTCTAGTTCCCCACTGGAAGATTCACCCTCTCTGTTAGTCCTGTTCTAGGAGGGGAAATTTTCCAGTGAGGAAACCTGTTCTGCTGAAAACCATCTGAAAGGAGATTGCCACTCACTTAAGAGAGATTTCCACTGTCTTCCTGTTGTGGTTTTGGGACAAATGAAGGAACATATTCCCAATTGGACATAGATAGCCTTAATACAAAATATTTTGCAACTTTTAAACATATATCTAAGAATTTTGTGAACATTTTTGCATAAAATAACTTCAAATGTATGTTTAAAGGGCTTTTTATTTTGGAACTAGATTAAATTTAATTGCTCTGCAGAATCTGGCTCCACTTCCTCATTCAGCTGCAACATCTCTCCCAGGCTTGAAGTTAGTGTAGAAGAAAGACTATGGAAGCATTCTGAGGAGAATGATAGTTGCAGCCATGGAAATTTCAATTTGTTTGTTGTAATGGTGGCTTTGACAGGTTCCATGCCCTTGAGAACCATGCACAGTAGTGCCAGATACATGTACACAACAAGTCTGTCTTTGTGCAAATAATTCCTTTTGTATGTTTTTATTTCTAATGTATCTACTATTTTTTCAGATGAATTTATCAAAATCTTAAAAGATACTGTTTTTACATACCTCAATTGTTTTACCAGGTCTAAATTCAATTTTCTTGGAGCTAGGGATATAATCAATGCCTGGAGTAGCCGAGGGTGGATCTGAAGGGCGAGTGGCACACCATACTGATGTTGGCACTGAAAGGTCAGGTCCACTTCGAAGAACGGGAATGTCAATAGAGCCTGTAGGAGAAGAGTACATTTTTGGCCATTAGCAGAATTCTGTAAGATATTACATACAAAATAGAGAGCGTGAAACATATAAAATGACACAACCAGAACACAGCTCAGTTATAATTGTGACATGCAGCAGGTCAAATATGCTCAACAGCATAATCTATGACATTGCATAATTTTCCCTTGTGCAGTTACTAATACAAGGAGAAACACACTGGTATACACTGTAATGCAGTAGAACCCCTAAAAGACATCTTTGTAGGGTACTTCACTCAGCTATAAAATTCCTCTCTCTGGCATTCCCTAGGCCGCATCTGAGCAGGCATCTCCATTACACCATAAAACTGGCATCCACAGCAAGAAAATATTAGAAAGCAGGAAAGAATTAAAAAGAAAGCAGGAAGATTCACTTCTACCATGAAGGTCATTCCACAACCTTCTGGAATATTGGAAAGCTATTCCCCCCCCAATAAAGCTATATAAACAATATACAAAGGGGGATTACTAGTATGTATAGATTTAAACTGTACATTTTTAAGGTAGTCAGGATAGAAATCCCAGCAAATACTGATATTTATTAAGAGAAACCAAATAATTTCAGTGTACAAAAGCATATTTATACCTATGTCTTCACTAACAGTAAAGGTGGCATTTCCTAATGAGACTGTTGAAGCATCATTCGGTCCTTCGATAACAACTCTGGCTGCAGCAATGTTGCCAATTCTTGCATTTTCAGACGTATCAGCAAGGGCTAGCTCAAATTCTTCCTCATCTTCATATTCACTGTCATCAATCACTTTGACATCACAGGTGGACATTGTAACTCCAGGCCCAAAAACGACACGATTTTCACTGGTCATTGCCCTAGATTTAAAGTCTGAGCCTGATTCAAGAGCATAAGGGCTGCTCCCCTTAGCGGATTTTGGTATTGTGTAGCAAATAGCAGAAACAACACTTCCAGGATCACCTATTTACAATAAAGAACAAGCACGCAATTAGTTAAATTAATAACCCATATAAAACACACAAGAGGAGGACACTCCACAGTTTCCCCTGCTATTTTAACCTATAAAAAATCTTTACAAAAAAACAAAAAACATTGAGATAAAGCATACATGCCAGCATTGATGAACAGGTACACATGGTTCATAAGCATCAAAAATTAAATGTTAGGTGTTAAATGGCAATTACTAAGCAGCCAAAGTCCTGCCTTCTAGCTCACAGTAGTAAAGAGACAATTGTGTTATATTCCATGCAGTTTATCTAATGTAATGCTAATGACAAAATTAAGGTTATTTCAATGGGGATTGTATTTGTTATTTTATTTTATTGGATACTAAAAATACAATAAATCAGGTAAATATAAAATGTTCCATATAAATAGTTCTATGTAGTCACCGGGTACGTTTTTTAGCTCCTTTTTATAGAAAACAGGGTGCCACCCAAGTAAAATTGGGAGCCACAGTACAAGATACAGCTATCGATGCTTGATGTGGCATAATTATGTTGTACATTTGAGCAGAGATATTGTTGGCATAGTGTGGGTAAGTAATGTCGAACAGCCCCTTTCCATCAGTTCTGGCATGTTCACTTAAGAAATAATGTCACAAAAACACAACAAACTTAAGAAGACAATCCAAATGGTCCATATAACGATGTATGCGGAGTACCATGATGTTTTGCTGTTTGTATTTCCAAGTGCTGTAAGCGGGCCAATTGAGCACTCCACTCGACCATGGTAAGGGCATAGGTAGAATTCCAGTGTCTTGGAATTACATTCCTAGCAGCCTAAAGAAAGAAGCACAGGAGTCCTTTTTTGGCTACTGAGAGGGGGTCAATCAGATCAGGGGCAATCCTGAGAGGGGGTCAGATTGATCAGGGGCAATCCCACCATATATATACTGTAGCATGGTCCCAGGTTCTCAGTAGTATCTATAGGAAAGCCTTGATACAGATGAATAACTGGTATGAATGGTAGCACAATAGCGGTATCTGCGCGTGAGAATTTTATAGTTCTTGTTCATAGCTTTATGGATCAAGACGAATGTCTTTACCAGGTTGTCTTCAGAAAACTTGTGGCCTAATTCCTTTTCCTATGCATATCTTTTTCCTATGCAAAGAAGGGCACATTGGGGAATGTGTGAGACAACAAGATGGTGTATAGTTATAAAGCAAGATGTGTAGGTTTGTCTCTATATAGACATAAGGGTTTTAAATGAGGTGAGATTTCTATATGAAAACAGCTTGGAAAAGGATGTGGCAAATGCTCAAATTTGTATGTACTGCAAGTGTTTAGGAAAGAGGCAAAAGTAGAGGTAAGGGCATATAACTATTTCAGTTAGGCATTGCAAAGTGCATTTCAGACTAAAGATAGTGATCTCTGGGACCAGGTAAGAAAGAGAGTGCAAATCAGCCCTAAGGTGAACATTGGGTTCCCTAGGATCGGTGTTAATGAGTTAACATGAAAAGTGATCTTTAACCCTTCTCTGCTCTGTGTGGTTCTAGAGCCTCCCCCTTTCACAGGTTACAGAGGTGGTTCCCAGGCACTCCTATTCCTCCAGGGAGCCCAGGACCACGGCCAATGGCGGTAACTAAGAGCAGGAAGTGACCAAGGATCACCCGTTAACCCACCCCTCCTGCAACTAATAAACTCAGAAGCGACTTGTATGAAGTTACTTATGGGCTCACAGCTGTGATTCCTTGGTTACTGCAATGCAAAAAAGGCGATCGAGATTCTTCCAAGGATACTCATACTTTATCCTCGCTATGGAATATCCAGTCTAAAGTGTGCGTTAAAAGGGATGATTTATGGTATAATTCGCTATGTGTAAGGCTCAAACCATCAGCTTATTTCCATAGTACCAGACATTATAGCATAATCTAGCTGAAGCATACTGCCCAGGTGTAGCATAACAATGCCAGAGCAAAGTTATAAGAATTGTTTGAAAGAAATAGAAATAGAGTAAATGGGACACAACATCCATCTTACAAATCAATCAAAATCACAAGTGACGTTTAAGGGACCAGATCTTGAGTTTACTAAGTGTATCTGCTTGGGGGGGGGGGGGGCACAAATTTAAATAATAAAGGTCACACAGGTTCACAAGAATATAAATTCCAAGGTATGGAATAAAGGTGAAGGCCCATTGAAGGGGAAGGAGTTGGCCAGGTGCTATTGTTTACCCTGGGGTAGGGTGATGTCTAACACAAATGATTTATGGGAATTCACTTTGAAATTGCTAAATTGCTGCAATAAAAAAAGTTACCCCTTAAAGGGTGGAAATACCACTTGGAAGTTAGAGATGTACAGCAGTGTATAACCCCATTTTGTAATGATATCCACCAATGGGTATACTGTATGTCAGGATTATCCTTAGCTCCTTTCTTGGTGTTTTACATGCTATCCATATCTGCTCTGTATTGCAGTCTGACCCTTTGGTGTACAGCCTGTTTACATAGCTCAACAGCCTAATCTGACATGTACAAAAAGAAGTAAATAAGAGGAGTGACTTACACTATATTGCCAGAGGTATTGGGACACCCCTCCAAATCATTGGATTCAGGTGTTACAATCACCTACACGGCCACAGGTGTATAAAATCAAGCACCTAGGCATGCAGACTACTTCTACAAAGAATGGGTCGCTCTCAGAAGCTCACTAAATTCAAGCATGGTACTGTGATAGGTTGCCACCTGTGCAATAACTCCTTACATGACATTTCCTTGCTAATAAATATTCCACAGTCAACTTTTAGTGGTATAATAACAAAGTGGAAGCAACTGGGAACAACAGAAACTAAACCACAAACCAACTAAACCACCATGACAGAGTGGGGCCAGCGCATGCTGAAGTGCACAGTGTGCAGAGCAGAAGTTGCCAACTCTGCAGAGTCAATAGTTAAAGACCTCCAAACTTTGTGTGGCTTTCAGTTAGGCACAACAACAGTGTGTAGAGAGCTTCATGGAATGGGTTTCTATGGCCGAGCAGCTGCATTTAAGCCTTACTTCACCAAGTGCAATGCAAAGCATCAGATGCAGTGGTGGAAACCACGCCGACACTGGACTCTAGAGCAGTGGAGACATGTTTTCTGGAGCGATGAATCACGCTTCTCTACCTGGCAATCTGAGGGATGCGTCTGGGTCTGGCGGTTGCCAGGAGAATTGCACTTGCCTGACTGCATTGTGCCAAGTGTAAAGTTTGGCGTGGGGTTGTTTTTCAGGGGTTGGGCTTGGCCTCTTAGTTCCAGTGAAGGGAACTCTTAAGATGTCAGCATACCAAGACATTTTGGACAATTTCATGATCCCAACTTTGTGGGAACAGTTTGGGGATGGCCCCTTCCTGTTCCAACATGACTGCGCACCAGTGCACAAAGCAAGGTCCATAAAGATATGGATGAGTGAGTTTGGGGTGGAGGAACTTGGCTGGCCTGCAGAGAGTCCTGACCTCAACCCGACAGAACACCTTTGGGATGCATTAGAGTGAAAACTGCGAGCCAGGCCTTCTTGTCTGACATCAGTGCCTGACCTACCAATACGTTTCTGGAAGAATGGTCAAATATTCCCATAGACACACTCCTAAACCTTGTAGACAGCCTTCCCAGAAGAGTTAAAGCTGATATAGTTGCAAAGGGTAGGCTAACTCAATATTGAACCCTACGGACTAAGACTGGGATGCCATTAAAGTTCATGTGCGTGTAAAGGCAGGTATCCCAATACTTTTGGCAATCTATCTCTCTATTCTCCTATCTTTAACCGCTTCCATACCGGGCACTTTTACTCCCTTCCTGCCCAGGCCATTTTTCAGGTTTCAGCGCTCTCACACTTTGAATGACAATTGCGCGGTCATACAACGTTGTACCCAAACTAAAATTTGATAATTTTCTTCACACAACTAGAGCTTTCTTTTGGTGGTATTTAATCACCGCTGAGGTTTTTATTTTTTGCGAAATTAACAAAAAAAGACCAACAATTTTGAAAAAAACCCACGTTTGTCTTTGTTTCTGGTATAAAAGTTTGCAAATAAATAATTGTTCTTCATAAATTTAGGTCAAAATGTATTCTACTACTTGTCTTTGGTGAAAATAACCCAACTTAGTATTTATTATTTAGTCTGTAGGAAAGTTATAGAGTTCACAAACTATGGGATATATCTGAAAATTGATCAATCCTGAAGTACTGATGGCCTAATTTCTTGAGGTCCAAGAATGTCAGAACAGTACAGATATCCCCCAAATGACCCCTTTTTGCAAAGTAGACATTCCGACATATTTCATAACATGCATGGCGAGTTTTTTGAAGTTGTAATTTTTTGTCATAATTTTTCGGAAATGAATAAAAAAAATAATTTTCACTATTTGTTTTTTACATACTGTCACCAGTGCAGTACAGCGTCATCATATAACTGGCATGGCGGTGAACAGGGACACTGACTGGTGACGGTACGAAAAAAACAAAATTGATAATTTTTTATTACATTTTTTCTCTTTTTTTAAGATTTTTTTTTCATATTTCACTATGACCAAACTAGTATAATATTACCATAGTAACATTGTACTACTTTGGGGAAGTGATCAGTATTTTTTTTTTTTTACACAATTTGCTTATAGCAAAGAATTACTTTAAAAAACCTTTATTTTATTTGTACATAACTTTGCAACACTTTTGCCAGAATCATAATTGTAGCATCATTTTAAACAGCACAAATTAAAGAATAACATACTTTTTTATCAACAGTATTTATTTTAAACTAACACTGATCAAATTAGAAAAAGAAATAATTTGTAGTTTTGTTATGTCTATTGTATTACATAAATATAAAACGTCTGCAAGATAAAATCACCAAAAGAAAAAACCAACAACACACAGTATGTATGCATGTTGCTATCTTAAGTATTGACAGTTATTTCTGAATAAATATTCCCATAGCACCAGTAATTTATGTTTCTAATTATTACCAGGCCCTTGTAC